TCTGCTCAAAATCATAGCGCAATTGCGTCTAACCACCTCGGGTTATTTTTCTCGCGGGGATTTTCTTTATTTTCATCACATGACCACGGCACTGATTTACATTACAAAAACCAAACAGTCACAGACCCAAAATAAAAGCTTCACTCAAATAACTTATAAATATTCATATAAACACGGTCCGCTGAATCCTTCAGTGCACAGGCTATGCAGATACTTATGTGTGTGTGTGTGCGTAGGCATTGTACAGTACAACCTACACCGCGTACACTGAAAAAAAAGAAATTTCTTCTGCATGTAGTAATACTTACCCAATCTGCGATGAAGGGAAAAAGGAAGGAAATTGAAAGGAAAGGAATTGCTGGAAACTAAATATTAGAAAATGAGAGAGAGAAAAAAAAAATATATATATACAAATTTTGACAGCAACTGTGACACCGAGGCCCCGGGATTGAATCTGGCCAGTGCCATTGGTGGGTTCAATGACGGTATGGGGTTTACAAATATTGCAATGGGGTGTCTCCAAGGCGTTTCGGCTGCCCCTACTCCTATTTCCCGCTTGGGATCTGCATCCTTGTTGGGGGGGGGCTAATCTCGCAATCAGTGAAAGAGAAGATATGGAAAAACGAGTACATTGATATGTCTCTGCTATTTGCAGACAGCGCAGCATAACTGCTCGCAGAGGCTCATAAAGATCCCGAGGTTGCACTTGTCGTTGACGGTGATAGGATGTTTTTGCGGTCTAGCTCGTCCCCCACCGGCCGCCAGAATAAGCTAGATTTGTGGGACAAGTGGGTCTCTGCATTCCACATTTTTATGGCTATATACCTCATGAAGTTTCCCAATAGGGCCACTGAACTACTTAAGTACACCGAGATCGTGCGCACAGATCGCCGCAGTACAATTTCCAGGCTATGGGTGGCGACTGTATGACGAACAGTTTCATCTTCGGCAGGCCACGCAACCCGATCGATCATGGGCTGAGTTGGATGCGGAGTTGTGGTTAACAGTGGGGGCGTGTGCTGTTGGCTCAGCCAGCAACACTGCTCAGATAACTGCCACTCCGCGCGGAATAATAGCCCGCGCGGTTGTAAATACTTTGGCTGTAAGTACCAGCACCAGTGCGCCAAGTGTACACGGTCGGGCCACTGTTCGCATGTGTGCCGATTCGATGGTAGCCAAACGCGTAACCAGCAATGGGGTCAAAAAGGGCCAAAGAAACAGGGATTCCCCCATCACTGGCGTGATGTGAACCCTGCAAGCATGACAGGGGTTGCACAAAGCGCAGACGCAAGTATCCCAAACAATGCGCGACCGGCTCCTGCCGGTAAGCCCCATTTTCATACTCCCAACTCCAATTAATGTACCCCTTGTTGCTGAACTGGTTAGAGTCGTACGATAACACTGCAGACCAACATACACTGAGTGAGGGCTTTTCAATTGGATTTTCCTTGGGTATCAGTGGGCCTCAGGTGAGCAGGGATTCCGAGCCCCTTCGCTCTGCAATATCAAACCCCTGATTGTTAAAGAAAAACATGCTAAAGAAATTCAAGCCGACCGCATTGCTGGCCCATTCCCAACGCACCCACTTAAGAATCTACAATGCTCTCCGATCAGCCTCTTACCTAAGAAAGAGCCAGGCTTAATTCACCATTTATCATTTCCGCATGGCACTTCTATCAATGACATTATCAGTCCTGGGCAGTGCAAGGTGAATTACGCATCTTTTGACATGGCAGTACATATGGTCTTGAAGGCGGGGAAGGGTGCATATTTGGCCAAATCTGATATCAAGTCTGCTTTTTTGCTTTTACCAGTTTCCCCAAAGGATCACGAGTTATTAGGCTTTCAGTTCGAGGACCACTTTCATT